CTCCCAGATACCTACCATTTGGACTGGGGCAAAGGAAACTACCAGTCTTAACTCATTTATAATAATAACTAATCCTTCCATAGGGCTTTCTCCATGCCAGGCGCTGTTCTAAGTGCTGTGCTTCTATTAATTTATTTAATCCTCAGAACAATTGTGTGAAAGAGGTGCTGTTATGATACCTCCTTCACAAACAAAGAAATTTAGAAAGATGAGATCATTTGCCAAAGGTTACCTGAAAGCAAATGGAAGAATCAAGATTAGAAGCTAGTTGGGCCAACAAAAGGCTCTGATCCTAATCATTCTGTGAACTGCCTTTTTAGAGACTATGGAAGAAAAGAATCAATCTCACAGAAAAATGTATATTTAACTAGCACTAACAGTTGAGAATTTAGTCACATGTTTGAGTATAGCTATAGTAAATGCTGCATTCAGACAAGAAGCCAGGGCACTACTTTTTGGACCAAAACGTGCTTTGTTTTTTCCTTTAGTAACAATTTTGATTTTGTCATTATTTGGGGCACTTAGATAATGCATTACAACAATTAAAGTCTCCCTTCCCTGTAAGGCACCATTTTTTGTTGGAAATGAGAGGAAAGGAAAGGAGGAAGTGGGGTGGGCTGGAAAGCATTTTACGTGGAGAAATGAGGGCTTTGTGAAGAGTCTCAACTGGAGGTTCTCTTAAGAAAGGCTGCCCTGGCGCGTCTTCTCAGGGCTGAGTGACAGAGCCTCAGGCTGCCAATCTTCACTCTAAATCAGGCTTTCTCAAGCTGGAGGAAGCCTAGGGGGGTGGGGACACGTCTCAGGGCACTGTGAGTCTGCAGGGCTGAGGAAAGCAGCTGTAGGGTAATAGCAGGAACCGACTTCTTATCCTATTGTGTCCTACATGCTAGTTCTAAAAGGGTCAGTGGGGACACAAATGAGGGTTATGACTGGTACTGGGGGAGTGGGCTTGAAATCTCTTAAGGAAAACTTTTTTTGTCATTTACTTTTCTTAATCACCGAGAAAGTTCTGCCAATGAATTCTTTTTTAAAAAATTAATTTACTTATTTTAATTAGTTTCAAGTATACAGTACATTAGACATCTATATAGTTCATAAATTGATCCCCCCAATTGCTTCCTCCCTCCCCTCACCCTGCACCTAGCCAACGTATTAATGCTAACTGCATTCCCTGTGCCGTGCTCCCCCATCCCCATGACCATCCATTAGCTACTAATTTGTACTTCTTTAACCCTTCACTCCATTCTCCCAGCCCCCCAACGCCCCTCCCCTCTGTCCATCACCAGATTGTCCTCTACATTTGTGAGTCTGTCTTTGATTAGTTTGTTCTTTTTATTCCTTAGATTCCACATATAAGTGAAATCACATAGTACCTAGAAGGTATTTAAGTCAGACAGAGAAAGATAAATACCAATGAATTCTTAAACAGCTTCTGAATGGGCTGTGGACTGTCCGGCACCCTGGAGGTTAGGAATATGCATCTGATGCTGGGGAACAGAGTGGGGAAGTCACACGGGTTGGCCATCACCCTTTCCCCAACACTTGGTCTTTGCTTGGGGTCCTTTGGGGTGTTGAGCATGATGTTCTATTCCTCAGTTCATTTCAAAAGACAAAGATATTGAGAGCCTACTGTGTGACAGGCACGGCGACAAGCACTGGGAGTGCAAGGGTGAAAGGTCAGGAGTCCTGAAGGAGCTTGGTGTGCCTTAATAATAATATCAGCTTTGTCACCATCATAGGTACCTCCCATTTATCAAATACGTGTCATACATCAGATACTGTCCTCTGAGCTTATCATATATTTATTCATTTAATCCTCACAACAGTTCTATGAAGTGAGTACTATTATTAGCTCCATTTTACAGAGCAGGGAAGGAAGCACAGAGAGGTTGATGTCCACTGTCACACAGCTAGTAAGAGGTAGGGTAAGAATTCACCTCAGAAATTGTTTAGTGGAGATAGACAATAGCTCCAGAGAGGAGAAAGGCATGACACCCTCTCCAGCGACACACTCCCTGATGGGGAGAGGGTCCCTGCTGGTAGGAGGCAGGCAGACTCGCACCTTGGCTTTGGGGAGTTGTAAGAAAAGTGGGGACACTTTGAGACAACAGGTAGGGCAATCAGAGGCAGCACCATGAAGAGGTGAAGAGCCCGACTCTGGAGCCATGTGCCCGGGTTCGAGTTCTGATTCTACCACTTTCTAACTACTTAACCTCTTTGTGCCTCAGTTAACTTGTTTGTAAAATGGGGATAATTGCACCTACGTCTTAGGGCTATTGTTAAAGATGAAATAAGTTAGCGAAATAATAAGGCTGAAGAATGCTTTTCTCTGGGAAAACCCCAACCATGAGGCTGGTTGCCCAGAAACCTTCGATTTTGCTATTTTATTTATTTATTTTTTGTAAACATCTCATTTCAACTCCCTCTCATTAGGCATTTACTTGAAATTTGCTTCAGGTGATGATGTTCACTTGACAAAAATTTTTGTACAGCTTTACCTTAAAAACTTGGTTTGGCTACAAGCTTTTTTAAAAATTATTTTAATTTAGAAATAGAAAACATCTTGGAAGAAAAAAAATGAGAAAAACAAAATACATAGGCAGACTTTTACTCCATAAGCTTCTCAACTCCTCCCTTGTTCACCAAGACGAAAAACCCTCCTCTAACAAGGTATTCAGCCACCAACAATGATGTTATTAATAGGGATATGGATCGATTTCACAAAAAAGCCAATAAATCCCATTACGGCAAATCCTATTGCTGTTGCCATAGCAACCTTCTGGCATTCTTTTCTATCAGGTTTGTTGCATCTTTTAACCAGCCGAATTGAGTCCTTTACAAACTGCTGACTTGGCTCAACGAACTGCATTATCTGATCCATGATGCTGCCCACCGACACCTTGGATGCCAGGGACACGTAGCAGAAGCGGCTACAAGCTTTTTAAAAAATTGAGGTAAAATTCACATAACATAGAATTAGCCATTTTACACTGAAAAATTCACAGGCATTTAGTACATTTACAATGTTCGGCAACCACCACCTGTATCTAATTCCAAGACATTTTCATTCACCCCCAAAAGGAAAGCTCATTTCCATCAAGCAGTCACCACCCCTCTCTCCTCCCCAGCCTCTGGCAACCGCTAACCCAATTGCCAGCTCTGGATTTGCCTGTTCTGAACATTTCAAATGGATTTATACAGTATTTGTCTTTTTGCTTTCAAGGTTGATCTGTGTTTTAGCATTTATGAGTACTTTGTTCCTTTTTATGGTTGAATAATATTTTGCTTATGCATCCATCTATTGACAGACATTTGGTTGTTAACATTTATGGCAATTGTAAATAGTGTGGCTATAGACATTTGTGTACAAGTTTTTGTTTAAACACTTGTTTTCCATTCTCTTCTTTATATACTCAAGAGTGGAGTTGCTGGGTCATATGGTAACTTTGTTTAACATTTTGAAGAACCTCCAGACTTTTCCACAGAAGCTGAATTATTTTTCATTCCCACCAGCAATGTAGGAGGGGTCCAATTTTTCTATATCCTCACTGACCCTTGTTATTTTGTTTCATTTTGTTTTTAATTAAGTTTATCGGGGTGGCATTGGTTAATAAAATTATGTAGGTTTCAAGTGTACAATTCAATAATTTATCCTATGTATATTGCATTGTCTGTTCACCGAAGTCAAACTTCTTTTGTCACCATGTATACGACCCCCTGTACTCTTATCTACCTCTCCACTTCCCTCTGGTAACCACTAAACTGTCGCCTGTGTCTATAAGTTGTTGTTTGTCTTGTTCGTTTGTTGCTTTCAGTTTTATATCCCACATATCAGTGAAATCGTCAAATTTTTCTGACTTATTTCACTTTGCATAATAATCTCAAGATCCATCCATGTTGTCGCAAATGGCACTATTTCATATTTTCTTATAACTGAGTAATATCCCATTGTATATATGTACCACATCTTCTTTATCCAGTCATCTATCGAAGGACACTTCAGTTTTTTCCATAGTTTGGCCACTGTGAATAATGCTGCAGTGAACATCGGGGTGCATATATCTTTACGAATAAATGTTTTCAAATTTTGGGGGGTAGATACCCAGAAGTGGGATTGCTGGATCATATGATAATTCTATTCTTAATTTTTTGAGGAACCTCCATACTCTTTTCCATAGTGACTGCACCAATTTACAATCCCATCAGCCACGTATGAGGGTTCCTTTTCCCAACACCTCTCCAAAACTTATTATTACTGGCCTTGTTGATAATAGCCATTCTTTCAAGTGTGAGGCGGTATCTCATTGTGGTTTTGATTTGCATTTCTCAAATAGTTAGTGAAGTTGAGCATCTTTCCATATGTCTCTTAGCCGTTTGTGTGTCTTGGGAGAATTGTCTGTTCAGGTCCTCTGCCCATTTTTTTTATTGGATTGTTTGATATTTTGTTGTTGAGTTGTATGAGTTCTTTATATATTTTGGATATTAGCCTCTTATCGGAGGCATTGCAAATATCTTTTCTGGGCTCTCAATTCTGTTCCATTGGTCTGTCTGTTTTTCTGCCAATATCATTTTGTTTTCATTATTGTCACTTTGTAGTATAATTTGAAGTCAGGCAGTGTGCTGCCTCTGGCCTTGTTCTTTTTTCTCAGGGTTGTTTGACTGTTTGGGGTCTTTTGTTATTCCATACAAATCTGATGATTTTTTTTTGTTTGTTCTATTTCAAAAAAAAAAAAAAAGAATGCCATTGGGATTTTGATGGGGATTGCATTAAATCTATATGTTGCCTTAGGTGATATGGCCATTTTAACTATGTTGGTTCTTCTCATCCATGAATACGAACTATCTTTCCATTTCTTTGTGTCTTGTTCAATTTCTTTTAATATCTTGTAGTTTTCAGTGTATAAGTCCTTCACATGCTTTGTTAATTTTATTCCTAGGTATTTTATTCTTTTTGTTGCAATTGCAAGAATAATTCTTTTTTTCACTTTTCTGAAATTTCATTGTTAGCACATAGAAATGCAATGAATTTTTGTACATTGATTGGTTTTAAATTTTTACTTATTTACGTATATTAGAGCCATCCTCTTGGGTGTGGAGTTGTATCTGTTGTGGTTCACGCTGCATCTTGATTTGGCAGTTGGTTTTACATTGGAACCTCCTGGGTTTTTATTTATTTGCTTAACAAGCCCAATGCCCGGGGCTGCATGTGGGCCGGGGCTCAGGCAGGTGCAGGTTTTAACGCTCCCCAGGTGATTCCAGTGTGCAGCTAAGTTGAGAAATACCATGTCAAAGATTCCCCTCTTGGTTACAAACTCTTTTTAATCAGAAACTTAACTGTGTTTAACTAGCTGGGTGAGGCCCACATTCATCTGAAAAATGGCGGGGGAGTCATGCAGATATCTGTCAGCCATTCTAATCCTGATAGCTTATGCCAGGTTTTTTAAAGAGAGGAAGTGCTTTCATCACAGCTGCAGACAGCGGGCGGGGAGGCGGAATGTCTCCAATAGTCCCAAGTGGACTAGTGAAAAAGCAAAAAACAAAACAAACAAAAGGTACTGGCTTTGATGACAGGTGCAGCTGCTAAGGGCTGCCAGCCCCCCACCCCCCTACCC